TAATACATGATTAGTATCATAAGATAAATCGATGAATATATTTTCATAATAAGCTTATTTGAAGATATAGATATTGCTAATATTTTATATAAATATAGTCAAACTTACCACCAGCACACATCCTATAACGCCTTTTTTTGGACTGAGGGTGTATATTTTTTAGAGCAAATGGAAAAGTCAGATCACTGTACTCTAGTACTATCATCCATATATATGCATGATGGAGCCACCATATACAAATATATATAATTTTGAAAAAGGTGGGATCAACCTCCAATGTTCTTTTTGTGCGTGATGTCATGTAATATATGGTTCATGCCACACGTATATGGTTGAACTAATAATTTCAGCATATATACCCTAATAATGCTAGCTACAGAAACAGTGGATCGGTGCAAGGTGTGTGTTGTGATGCATGGGAAGAATGAAGCAGCTATATAGCTAGTGGAGCGTCCTTGCTTCCTAGTGGCAGTGGCAGTGGCAGCTACAACAACCTGGCTAGCTTATCTTCTGTATGTTGTGCACACACCGGCATTGGCACTGCACTGCTAGTGACAGTAACTGCTCAACGACGACATGCTGCCGCCTGGCCGGACCGGCCCCCAATAATGGCGATCCTCCTCCATCCCTCGCCGGTGGCTGGCCGGCCGGCCGGCGTAGAGTTGTTGCGTATATATGGACCCGAGTATATTTGCAATCGGGAGGCGGCCGACGCCGCAGTACAATTTTACACTGTGCTCAGATCGCCGCCAGTGTTTTGTCCATGCATGCATACAGATCCAATTTAGTGCTACTATATTCGAATGTGTGTATGCATACATGCATGCATGTTCCATGCACATCTATTGTTACGCCATGCTCATGTCATTGATAAATGAACTTGCTATTTTTGTCAGATTTAATTGGTCTTGCCCAACCTTAAATCAAATAAAATTCAAAGACCCATAATAAATGCTATTGCAATAAAAGAATTGATACGGTATAGAAAATTGACTCAACTTAAATGGATAGCTCTTGTGGGCACCTATTATTGTGAGTTTAAGAAAGGTGGAGCGAGCCATACGCCCGGCCCACACACGCGTCGCGACACACATGGGCTGCCAAGCCTTGACATGAGTGTGTGTGGTGTGGCACCTACGAAGGTTTGCATCTCCAAACTCAAAACGTGAAGAGAGAGTGAGGGACGATGAAGGCAAGAAGGGTGAGAGTGAGGGATGATGAACGTATATAGAGTGAGAGACAGAAGAAGAGTGGGAGATGGAAGGAGAGCAAGGAACAAACAGATGTAGAGAGAGTTTGTAGAAACATGTTTTGAAATCGAACTCCGTACCATCACTGTACATGATAACAGACTCCATACCATCTATGGACGCGATAATTAACTTGTATGCATATGGGTCATGAGTCCAGGACAGGATGTGAGAGCAATGTGGAAAGTAAAAAAAAAAGACAAACAGAAGAATCATTTATCCTTAATATTAGTTATAGATATAGATAAAACAATATTGTTTCTACTGTATGAGGTTGTACGACACATGCATGCACGGTCAATCCATGCTCATGGTAAGAATGGTACAATCTTTGACAGAGGATATATATGATATAACAAGAGGCCAAGAGAGCAAACTAAACCTTCGTACAATATATATGTAGCTGCTGCTGCTGCTAGCGGCCAAAAGACCCTTCGTACATTTGTACTAGCTAGTTCATATATATTATTATTGGTTCATGTATATATAGTAGTAATTCATCAATTTGTTTTCTTATATATATATAATTTCACGAGATCCAAGGAAAAGAGGGGAGAAAATATGGAGCAGTATATAGCAGCAGGGCAACCGATCGAGCATGCTGCAGAGGAGTGATCTCTGAGTACTGAATATGGACGGCAGACATCGCTCAGCGAAGGCCATGCGTACGCATTCATGCGTAGTACACACTCCTACACAAGCGATCCATCCATCTCTTCTCTGTTGCATGATTGGCTCCTGTCTGTCAGCTCTCTGCTGTAATCAGTGCATGCATGCCTACCGCAGATAACCTTTTCTATTCAGATACCTTCATCCCTTTATTTCGCCGTCTTTACCAGATCCTAGCTAGCTAGCTTTCTTCTCTTTAGGTCAGCCAATAAAATTTAAAAGAAGAAATTAAAGCAAGAGCCTCACAGTACATTAACTTTGTTCTTGTCATACGTTATTCTATTTCCCAAACCGGAAGGAAGCTATCTGTCATTACATTAAGAAAGAACAAGAGCATATATTCCATAAAAGAGAGAGAGATAGAGAGCATGTACATGTTCGTCTATGACACATCATATATATGATCTTATATGCATGGAAGCTTCAAATGAAGAAGCTTTCTAGCTGTGCACTTGCCTTTGTTGCAAAATGTGGAAAAAATGGAGGAGACATCATGTATGGCACGCCAATCGTCGGAGGTACGTAGTTACCATGGATTTGTTCTCCACCAAGAATCGGTGGCAGTTCAATAATAGGGCTATGCAGCATCAGTTGATCTGTTGATGTTTCCAACATTGTGAGGCTTGTTATTTAATTTAGTTTTTTGATGTTTCATCATATATTGAGAGCTATGTATAGTAATGTAACAATCTTATGTAGGTTGTGTGCATCTCATTATACAGAGGTTGGTTACGGTTTTGATTGTCTAAGAAAAAGCTAATGAGTGAAAGAAAACAAAGGAAAGAGCTGAAGTAATGTTAAGGTTAGTATCCATCAACTCTGAACATAGAGGGAGGAAGAGAGGCGACGACATGCCGCGCCCACGTATGGGTGGGAATGCAACAAATGAATGGGTGATGAGAAATGGTGGGTGGCACATGGCGATTGTCTTGACAAGTTAGTGCGGTAGATTGGCCATTTATAGGCGAGGGTTTTTATCCTCAAGGGAATATACTCTTCTGCACATCGCCCATTAGATGTGCATTGAGATTTCTACACTACAAAAAAAGAGAAATGATTTAATGTCTTTCTCTTACAGCACAAGAATCTCAATGCAAATCCAATGGTTACATGCATAAGGGTTTAAGCCTTGAAGGGAAAATTTCTATTAGCCACAATCGTTGATGGTGGAAGGGGCGTCAATGGCAACATGTGGGTGCAATACTCCTAAAGACAAAGTACCACTAGTTGAAGGCATGCCTAATAGGTTGATGAAGAGAGGTGGCAATCACGGGTATCGGGTCATGAAACACAACAGGCTGGGGTTGGTGAAGGAGTGCTAGCTATTGTATGAACATCCATCCCATGCATAGAGCCCCATAACTTGACTCGACATCCAATTGTATTATGTAGCTCCTATATATGTATTTTCCAATAATCAAACACATGAGTGGACGATGTGTACATGTGTGTGGCATGCACATTTGAAGATGTTTCTTTCATAAATAAGACGTGGCTTAAACAACTTGCTGATAGCCTGATACAAGGGCCTACAAAATCTCTTTTGATCATGTAATGCACACTGCGCATGTGCATATATGTGTATATTTCAGTGAGGACCATATGTGCGTATCTATGAGTGGGAGCTCATTTTCTATATTGTTACTGTTGCTGAAGATACATGACACATGTAACGCACTAGAACAACGCCTCACGGTACTACCTTACAATGAAAGGAGTTTTTTTAATTGCCATGTATGTTCCTGTGGATGTGGAGACTGTTGGAATAACCAGGAAATAGAAAAATAAATTTAACTAAACCAGGACATCCATTAAGCCAATGTCAGTGTTTCAACGTTCTCTTTCTTGGATAGTTGCTAGATATAGATATAAAGCATGGATCATCTTTTTTTATTAATATCAGCTCAGTACATTTGTGAAGATTAATTGGTTACCCCACCTATGCAATTCTTTTGATTTAGTGGTAATAATAATAACCCATCACTTTTATTTATGTTGTTTCTATATTTCTCGGTATTATATATATATATATATATATATATATATATATATATATAACCATATTAAATTAAGACTTAAGAGAGAGACTTTTTTGAGGGGTTTAAGAGTGACACTATACTATACCATATATAGATTTGAATTACCATATTAACATATAATTAACCGCACGCACGAGGGTGAGCTCGAATGTCTCAGAAAAATCAGGCTTAGCTTAACATACGAAGGGGGGCAACATGTTGAGAGTTCTATTTTATTTTCATTTTCCTATTTTTTTTGTTAACATTTGTTCTAATGATTTGGCCAAATCCCACGATTCTATAGCTAGCAACAGTGTTATCAAAATAATGTATATCAAGTGTTATCAAAATAAACTGCATAAGTGTCGTTTATGTCGATTCTTTCCTTAAGCTAGTTCAAGGAAAATTTCATTTGGTGTATGTTCCTTTCTACATGTTCATTTTGTACCGAGACTGCATCATGTATAAGTGTGGACCCTTTGTTCAAGTTTCCCTAGTATTTTTAACAAAACTTTGACATGAAATCAAACTGTAAAACATGTATCAACATAGCATTATAGTGTTGTAGATGACAAATACACTCCAAATGAGTTTGAACTGATGATCAGCAAGAGAGCATAGGTTTGGTTTTATATCAAAACTGGAAGGGGAAAGTATTAAAAACTTAGCTTATATATAAAGAAACATATAAACACTAGATAACTCATATGGGTGTCAAGGTTGCACTTTTCTCCTGGCATATATATCTAGGCTTTGCCATTTGAAATATATAGAACCCTCTTGTGAATGGAACACACATATCGGCGTGCACCAATAAGGCAACAATGTTACATATGCAATCTGCATTTGTATACATGTACGCAGTGATTGATGAGTGTATCGACACAAAGTGGAATTACATACGATTGATTCATCGCTCCTTACTAACACACATAATGTCTTGATTAGGTCAACAATTTGGCTCAAATTAAACTACCAATTGGGCCAGATAAGTGTTCATTTCATCATTCTTAATGGTCAAAAACATACTTGTGTCCTTTTAATGGTGAAGTGTGCAATTGCACTACATATCGATCTATATACATCGAAAGAAAGTCAGCATCAACACTAGAAGGTACACAAATTAAATTCTTTTATGACATCAAATGTTTGTGTTTTGATTTAGAAGAAGTTGAAATTGTGTGTAAAATAATAAAAAAATCAAAATAGGCATGATTTACATGCATCTTACAAGTGTACCTTACTTCATTTCAGCTCGTTGTGAATGCATTTGCATGCACAAGACCTGCTATATTAGGTTACCATGGTGCACTGTTTACATACCTTAAAACCAACTCGTACAAAGTTCATTGGGTGGTCTTGAACAATCAGTTCTCTTGCAATCTGAATACATCAAAAGCATCCTTATATGCATTAGTTATATGTGAAGTGTGATGTAGGATATGTCGTTATTTTCATTAGATCTGACATTATAAAAAAAAATATAGGAGAACAAAGGGGGAGTAGTAATTGACATAATACAGCTGGGCTAATTGTGAAGACAAAGAGAATAACCTGTTAGAACATGTCAAATATCAGAAGAAAAAAAATGTTTTATGCTTCAGATAATTCAAGTGCCATTATCATTATACATATGCACATTAGAAGACTAAAATTATAACCATACGTAGCTACACTCATGGCATCAAAATATAAACATGTGCATGGTCATGTACGTATAATCTGCAGGAACGACCATATGCATGTGTTTAACCTGTGTTTGATCTGGATTAAACATGCATGTACTGCCGCCCATGATTAACACTAATAATAGTACAATAGTTAATGCTCTCTAGAAAATAATAATATGAATTAACATCAGTGCATCACTAGATGCACATTTCTTCAGTCACAGACAAAAACATTGCATTGCTAGAAGCAATATATCCTGTACATATATATTTGGCCTGTTTGCCTACCAATAGGACACTGAGTACTGAATAACTATTTGTTAACCAGGTACCATATAATAATATATATATATACTGTAGCTGGCTACAAAATACTATATTCTGTAGCCGGCCGGACCGGAACTCGCGAGCCTGAGCGTCACCAGCGCAACATGGTCACCCAAACCCCATCCACCGCAGGTCACGCTCGTGGCTTTGGCTTGGTGGTCCCCTTTGGACTAATGCATGCATGCATTGATTGATTCCCCGTGATTTTCCCCCCTTCCTTCCACCTGCCACAAGAAGACCTGCTTGACCATTTGGAAATCCCCAAATCCCCGTCGCCTGCTTCTCCCCCGACACCTCGACCGCGTCCGCCCCCACCCACCGAGCACATCAGCGCCGCCCGCTCCACCCCTGGATCGGCGCCGATGCGGGCGCGACGCCACTCCGCTCGGCGCGCCGCTGCCCCGGCCGTCCACCTCTCCCCGACGCAGCAGCGCCTCCTTTACCTTCCCGGTGAGGCGGTGGATCCCCACCTTCCCAGTGAGGCGGCGGCCCATCCACCTTCCTAGCGGCGCGGCTGCCGGCCCTCCACCTCTCCGCGCAGATATGCGTCCCGACGGGCACGCGCGGCTTCGCATCCCCAACCAGTGGCGGATGCCGCTCCCGGCGACGGCATGGCTCGCCCTGCGCCTCTCGGGCCACACCTTCCACGGCAACTCCTTCCCCGGTGACGGCGGTACGTCCCTTCTCTCTCCCAGCAGTGGCGACGGCGTCCACTCCTTCCCTGGCGTCCGACGGCGGCGCGGCGTGGCCCGGCCCCTTCCCCGACCGGTGGCGCGCGGCTTCCCCTCGTCGTCCGGCGGCCGTGCGACTCGCCCCATGCATATGGCCCTCACGGCGGCGCTCGTACATCAGGAGGCAGCGGCCCGGCACCCGGCACATCTCCGGCGGTGACAGTATCTCGAGGTGAGCCCCGCACAAATCCGCATCCCACGATAAGCATGGAGTCAATTTGCTTTTGGTCTGTACTAGTGTCTCGCTGTACAATTTGATTCATAATTTTCGGGCTGGATTGACGACAATTGTTGCGAACCTCAATAGCGGGAGCAATTGCCATTCTTTTTTTTGCAATGATATAGTATCTGCTTGTGTTAGGAAAAAGATCCATACCATATCTTTTTATGGTAACTTCATCATGACATTGTGCTAAAATTATGGTAAATGCATTCCATTTGTCTAGTGTATTCTACACAACATTATCGTAAATATATCTTTGCATCCATACAAATCATTGCTGTTATAGTCATTTTTGCTCGTAGGAATGACATTTGTGCACTGTTCAAGGGTTAGTTTCATTCTGTTAATTGGAAGATGCAAGCTAGTTCGTTCATTCTAATTGTGTCTCTCATTACTAATGCAGAAAAAAAGGTACCTCAGGTTTGGTCAAAGCTGCTCTTCTGAATGCATTACAAACCACGACAAGAAGATCAAGAAGCTCTGTGGTCTGTGCTGAACCTGCGCCACACACAGCTCGAACTAACTTACCTGATGATCTGTGTTAAAACTATATAGAAGCTTACTCTTCTTTTCCTGTACTTTTGTTTGTGTTTAAATTTGATTGGGTGGACAAATGTATTAGTGTGTTATGTACTAAAAAATCTGTGCTTCATCTCCTTGTTGAAGATGGCTCTAATCTTTTCATTTTTAAAAAATGTGACTTGGTAAATGAATGTTGGCCAATGCTGAAATTTTTGGTCTTCCTCGGCTTCGGGAGAGGAGGGTTCGTGCGTAGCTTATATTGATGTTATAGTAAATTAAATTTGATCATAGTTCAAAAATTCTCGTAAATACTTGTAGTACAAAGTTCTCGTAAATATTCTTTGTGCAAGTTCTCGTAAATTTCATAGTACGAGATATTCATAAGATAAAATTCTCGTAAATATTTATACAGTATAAAATTCTCGTAAACATTTACCGTACAAAATTCTCGTAAATATTTACAGTTTAAAATTCTCGTAAATATTTACAGTATAAAACCCTCGTCCTAATTATTTGCGTGCTAGTTAATAACTAGAGTAACCAGAATATGTGCAAATTATCGTAACAAGATCCAGCCTATTCGCTTGGTCGTAAACGATCGTGGATTATAAGCCAGAACAATATTTTTCTCTCACACCAAACCAGTCAGCAGTAATAATCCACGATCGTTTCAGCCGAAATGAACAGGCTGATCATTTGCGTGCGCGCCTGGAACATTTGGGTGCTAATTATAGTAACTAGAATATATTTTGTACTATTATACATACTCTCGTAATCTTTGCATGCGCATGAATGTGTTCTCGTAATCCTTGTTAGCTTTTCATGCATACCGCAGGGACAACTAGAGTTGCCAAAATTAACGTCAGCAAATCAAGGAGATAAAGTAGTAACTCGACATCCTAATTACCATACTAGCACGTGCATGTACGCCTCCTGTTACCATACTAGGAAAATGAAGTTACGAGAACCATATGGTACCCCAGCGTGCAGCACGGAGGCTAGCACCGACGGTTAATTTTTTCCATTACCATAATTATTTAACCATGCAATTAATTCCGGCTAGCTCGCTCCATTTATGAGCTTGGCTGGCTCGCACGTGAAATCAGCATCACGCAATTACGGGAACCCACCAGCGCAGGATCTGAAACTGAGTGCGAGCCCGGTGCGGTCGGACGGCCTGGCTACAGAATAACCTATTTTAGCTACAGAGTATACTCTCTCTCTCTCTCTCTCTCTCTCTCTCTCTCTCTATATATATATATATATATATATATATATATATATATATATATATATATATATATATATATATATATATATATATATATATATATATATATATATATATATATATATATATATATATATACTACTACCCTGTATCTGGCTACAAAATAACTTATTCTATAGCCACTTTGAGTTACGATAATTACTATGTTAATTTACGAGATTATAGTAACTCTTTACTAAGTGGTTTACTATAACGTTATGGTAAATATCCCCATGTGTTATAGTAACCCTACTATCGTAAATATGTATTGACATTATCGTAAATTAGTATATAAAATTATCATAAATGAAGGTGGCTACAGAATAACTTATTTTTGTAGCTGGCTACTGAATATACTCTCCATATATATATATATATATATATATATATATATATATATATATATATATATATATATATATATATATATATATATATATATATATATATAGAGAGAGAAACATATATGTATATGCTCTCCTGTCCAAAAAAAAAAAGATGCAATTCTAGAGTAGTGTTATTAAGTCAAATGATTTTAAAGTTTAACTAAATTTATATATATATATAATATTTATTAGACTAAATATGTATCATTAGATTTTCATGAAATATAAGCTTAGTCAAATTAATTTACGATAGTTTGACCCTGATGATCAGACCTAGAATTTTTATTTTGAGAAAGGGATATATAGTATATATAAGAACATCCCTTGAATTAATGAAATGAATTATATGATAAAATGCTAATATAAGTAACCAATAAATGTATCTCTGCATGCATGGATCGACTCTCTGATCCATCCACCTATCATGTAGGAGTATTGTAGCACCCGATTTTAAGAACAAAATCAGATACGCACCATATGTGAGCCCAGGAAATCAATTCTCACGTATAGCTACAAATAAGGGTAATATCAAAAGATAATGCTCAATATATAACATACTTAGTATAAAGGATATAACCTTAAACAACAAACAGCGGCAAGACAACTCCGATCTTCAGGTGAAGACTCCAACTCCACAGAGACAACTGACTGGTTGATCACAAGTCTAATTTCTCCAAACTCTAGCAATCTAGTACCCATCCGAGATTTTTCTAAATATTTAAAAAGTAAAGCAAGCGTAAGTACATGTCGTACTCAACAAATATAACAGGGGGTTCATGAGTCTCAAAAGGCTAACACTAGTTTAACTGCGATTAGCTTTTAATGAGTCATCTTTTAGCAATTGAGTGGCAACAAGTTTATTCACAAGCCCATATAAACACATGATCAGGTAAACATGAATAATGAATAGCATAAACAGTAATCATTAGTGAGCATCTTTATCATCAGTATCATCAGTGTCCATCATCTATTTCATAAGGGTCCAAGGCCGCTCGTGACCGTGAGCACGACTGATATATCAGTTTTACACTCTACAGAGGTTGTACACTTTCACTGTGAGTCGTGATTTACCCTTTCGCCCGAGGCGGTCAACCTCTTGACCCACTACCAAGGAAGGTCGGCAGGGTTCACTATGAAACATTTCAAAGGTTCGTCTAACAAGTTAGGGCCATTAGATTCACTCGACAAATAGATGTAGAGCTCCCGTTCCCGTTGGCACAATGACGCGCAGCCTATACCCGATTCGTCAAGCCATTCTTACGCCATAAAGGTAACCTCTAACAAGCTAGAAAATGGCCTCATATTGAGCTAAAGCCAGAACCATATAGTCCTCACAGTTGTACTGTAAATCTCGTATGTTCGCTTACAGATAAGTCCTTAGGGAGAGGAATTTAGAGCACCATAAAATAGCCCAATGCTCTAGCCCCCTTGTTCTATGTTGTTAAAAAACATCTTTTAGTGTTTATTGCATATACCATTAGTAAAGTTACAAGACCATGGTCTTTAATTGAGCACTAGCATCATCCTACCCAATGCATAAACCCATAGGTATCAAGGAATCCAAGATATCAAATAGCTAGGAAAATTACTACGGTTGCCAAGGTAGACACATGCATATGAATTAAATGATTAAAGATGTATAGGGCAACAAGGAGGATCCCATGCTATACTTGCCTTAAACTCAGATTCTTCTTCTATTGAATTGTAACCTCCAAAGGACTTCTTCTGTATCACCAACTTCTTTTATATCACCAACGCAAAGCTCACCGACTAGACATGATCATAAAAGCACCACACAAGCATCCATGCAATCATACATGAAGCAAACAATAGAGCTAAATTAGAACAGTACACCAGATAATAAAAAGGTTTGAAAACTAATCTACGCATTGCTACGAGCACACAGACGCGAAAAACATGCTAATCGGAGCTACGATGAAAAAGAAACATCTACCGGGAGATTCACCTTTATATAAGAAGAAGAAAGCTATAGGCTTTATTTATTTTAACTATATAAAATCATATATATAAGATATTTTAGAGAAGTATCCAAATGGAATTAAGTCAAATTATATTTGATTTGGAAAACCAGGATAGATCTAATCTTATTTTACTTAGAAATGATCGAAGTAGAAAATCTAATTTGCTTTTAATTGGAAAACTAATTGCATATTGATTTATCAAATTAACATTTTATTTGAAAGCATAGAGCATGTTAAACAATACTACTATAACTTAAATTACGTCGTTATGAATCTAACGCAATTTAAACTGGTCAAAACGAAGAAGTTATGGCCTAAATAAGGCTAGTGGCAAAACTATAAATAGATGAAAACGTATTTTGAATCTAACCGAAGGAAAATATGCTTTCCAAAGAAAAAGATGTATTCCAGAAATATGCTATGGACTGCGGGTTCTATACTAGAAAAGGGCAGGGGCTCTTTAGCAAAATTGCCTGCGAAGGGTTACGGGTTAATCTCAACCGTTGGATCAAGATTGAACGACTAGGAATAGATGAGAGAGAGAGAGAGAAAGAGCGGACCAGCGTGGCCGGCGACGAGCGGCGCACGGGGACCACGGCCTATGGGCCTCGATTCAAAGCGAGAAAAGCACCGGGAGGTAGAGAAGAAGGCAACAAACTCAACTAGTCATCTTACCGAGGCGCGGAGCGGACAGAGGCGGCGCG